ACCACTTACCTATGGTATAACAATAGGGTGTTAACACTTTGGAAGCAAAATACAGTCTTGCTCCGAAAAGGTCAATGAGTCCAATCATCACAGATTTATAAAGCTGAAAATCCACAGGCGTCTCCAGGGAACAACATGGAGTAAGAAACGATTTCACTTGATATTTGGGAAGGAGTTTTGGACCCTAAAAATTTCATGTGCAAACAGGAGAAAGCCAAGTAAGACACAAAACCTGACAATAAGTTAAAGGTTAGCTAATTATAAAAGTTTGATACAAAATTACTTAATAGGCATGATACTTTTCCAAAATTTATGGTAGACAGGTTTCTCACCAAATGACAACGCAAAAGAATACAGTTCAAAGGATGCTTTAACCGTGTGTAGAAAGCAGTCGCTGGCCACCGCAACGGAAAAGACGAGAGGAACTGGGAGGCAGGAACAGCAAGGACGCTCCCAGGACAGGAAGCAACTTTCGGAGAACTGCCAAAGGGCCTTCAGCACGTCACCAAGTTTTACAGTAAAACACAACAGAGCTGACATTTCTATTTAGTAAGAAAACGGTAGTGATATAAAAATGGTGCTGGCAAACCAGTTATTCCTCTGGAAAATAACTTTTATCACCTATCGTAGGCTTCCCGAGAAGCTTAATGATCCAAGGAAAGTTAAGGAGACATTTTTTTTTAAATTTAGTAAAATATTTGCATATTTGTGATGAAATATTCTTAAGCAAGAAAGGAAACCCAGACATGAAAGACAGATTGGACTACTGAAAAATTAAACTTCAAACATAATTAAAAAAAAACACAGAAAAGTTATTCCTGTTTTAAAATGAGTTCTTTAAAAGACAACCCAGCACAAATGAGTGTCAAGGTGCAGAAAGACAACTCCTAGGAAATATAAATAGGCAACAAACACCTGAAAATGTGCCAGCTTCGTTGTTGCTTACAAAATGCAACTGTAGCTTGTGATATGATACTGTTTTTCACACTGCAATAGAAGTAACAGAGACAAGGTAACCTCTTATTGCTGGCGAAACAGCGCATCTACAACGAAACAGTACATCTACAGCTATGAAGGGAAAAAGACGCCAGCATTTGTAGAAAATTAATCCAGTGATCCCGTTTTTAGGAATCTAGTTTACAGATAACAAAAAAGCTCCATAAAAAGTATCTCAGAGTAACAAGGATGTTTATGGTAGCATTACTGACAGAAACAAAAGTTGGAACAAACCTGTGAGGGCATTAATAGGATGGTCAGATAAGTATCATGAAGTACCACGCCTCTCTTAAAAGGCAGGCTTCTGATTGGTACAGCTGGCCTAAGATGTCCTCAATACACTGGCACAGAAGCCACCTGTACTCTGTTTAGTAAGTGCCTCTCCACTAGCAGAAAACGCTGGACAGGGCAAGCACAGGGCTGTGAACACTGTTCCTCTAGGAATGGTGGTCAGAGGTGATTACTGTTAATGTACCTCAGTGCTCTCCACAACGCCCCAGGCAGCGGGTGGCCAAGCCTGCTGATGCTATTCCTGAGCCTACAAAGACACACCACAGTTACGAAAATGAGTCTTCACACCACTGCACGGGAAAACCAACTCTCCCTAAACTCTAAGAGGGAAATGTCTGGCTTTGTTTTAAAACTCAGAGAATTTAGGAGCCGTTCATCCCACCGATGAGACTTTGGCAGCAGCCATGGGCAGTAAAACCCTTACAAACCCTCACGGAATCCAGCCACACTCTAACATGCGCACCTGCAGCTTCTGATACAACTCTCTAAGGAAGCACAAATAGCAGGAAATCGACCCCGAACACAGAAATGAGGTCAAGTTGTTTAAAATAAACAACAACAACAACAAAGCACACACACACACACACACAGGTCATCCACCAAGTAAATCAAAGTTGTCAAACTTCTGCTTTCCACGGGGAGCAATGAGACAGAAGTGAAGAAACTCAGAAGAGGCCAGCGAGGACGAACTGTTCTGTTCTGTTTGCCCCCACAGGGCACTGAAGCCGCACAGTTCACGCTCTTACCTTATAGAAAGGGCATTCCAGGACTGAGGTTAGGAAGAGCTGGGTGAGCTGAGCCAGACTCACTCTGTCCAGGTAAGATCCTTCACCTGAAATAGAAAGCATCCCAGGCGTGGTTCCGTTTGAATTTTGCGACGTTAAAGCATTGTGGACACACAACCATCAGTTTATTCCTTTTTAAATGACAGAGGAGATGAAACCGTTAGAATTAATTATGCCCCCTTGTTGCCACCAATGAAACTGACTTCCAAGAACCTAAGCTCCTAGATAGAGTATAAGTGACAAAATATGTTTACAGAATTAACAGAAATGTCCTTTGTGGAGATCCAGCAATGTGACACACTTTGGCAGCCTTGAATTAAGATGAACCATAATATCCTACCAAAACAAGGTGACAGCTGCTCACTCATCAAAGGTTCTGACACATTACTGTGGCTGTCACCACTGCGGTGGCCGTACTCCAGGATTTCTCACCTGGGGCAGCATTTTGCTCCAAGTGCTGTCCTCCCTCTAGCCCATGTGTCAGAATTCTTTTACTCAGTTTCTACAGCATCTGTAACTTCAGATCTCCCCTTCAGATTATTATAGAGGCAAAAATAAAGGCAAAGTGTTGCTCAATGTAAGAGGTACAAACGAGATCTGAAAACATCCACATTCAACTCTCAGACATTACAACCAACTCACCTTGCAGCTGTTGAAGGAAAAAAGGGCTGAATATCTTCGGCATGAAGTTGACCGGGTGGTATTCAATAAGTGAGCAGGAATGGAGAAGTTTCAAGAGCGCTTTGGGTGGGAAGTAACTGAAATGAGTGGCGAGCCTAGCTTCTAGCTTCCCAAACAAAGCAGGGGCATTAGGGGGCAAATAGTTGAGTTTCCCGAAGGGCTCGATCAGTTTGGAAATCTGACTAGGTGAGAACTTCTCAGGTTGGCAAACAAACGTCTCGGCGGCGGCGTCAAGGATGGGCTGTGACAGGATCAGCTTCCTGCCGCAGTACTCCACGACCCTGCTGACCACCTCGGCGTCCAGGGAGAGACACAGCGCAGCCACGTGCTGCTCTAAGGCTTTCGTGAAGAACCTGTCATGTTGCCCAAAGTAGATGAAAGCGTCCAGGACCTTCCCGAGCTCCTCACTGGTGAAACGCGGGATGTGCCGCACAACGTGTTTCCCCAGCTTTATAACCAGAGGCAGTGCCTGCGTTTGATCGAGAACCACCAGGGCACTGAGCATCTGGCTGATGGATTTGGGGCTCAGGTAGGAAACGACTGAAAGGGAGACGCTGTTGAGCCGATTTAACAAGGCCTGGTGTTGGCTGACTTTTTCAGGACAGGCCTGCAGGATTCTGTAAAGGGCCATGATGTTCTCGGGGGTCAATGTCTCCACGTTTTCCCCCTGCAGCTGACACAGAACACTGTCCACTGCCGCACACCCTGGACCCTGAAGGGTAATCAGACTTTCCCCGAGCGCGCAGAGGCTGGGAGCATCCAGGCCTCCTCTCGTGAGGCGGTTCTGGCACTCTGCCGCCAGCGCTCCCATCAGGCTGCTCTGAGGATCCACCTGCAGGAGCGTCAGCGCTCGGAAGGCAGCGACCAGACTCGTGCCTGACAGCCGCGGGAGCTCCTGCTCCAACTGGAGGCACACAGCCCGGAAGACGCTGTCCTCCAGGAGGTCTGCGGGCGGCCCTCGGTCACCATGCCTTTTCTCCAGCTCGCAAAGCCGCTGCAAAGCTCTGGCTGCCACGCCGTCCGGCAGAGTGTCCAGGGAGCTCACAAAAGCCAGCACTTCTCCGGCTGAGCGGAAGCCGTCCAGTCTCTCGGAATGCACCTGCTCCTGCTCCAGCCTGTCCCAGGGGCCCACTGGAGAGGAGAGGGGCTCGCCGGCTGGGCGAGGGCCGGCTCCATTTTCCGCATGGAACTTGCGACCACAGGCACGACGGAGCCCCACTCTTCTGAAAGACTCAGCTTGTAGCGAACACGGCCGCGGACACAGACGCTCCCTGCTCGCGTGCAGAACGGGATTCGCAGGCCGGCTTTTCAGAGCGGCCAGAGCTCCGTGGATCCGCAAGTCAGGTAAATGGCACAGGTTCCTCCGCAGGGTGACGAAAGCCATGCCATCCGACTCAGTCCTTGACTGGCCACTGGATGAGGGGGCGACAAGAAAAGGGTCAACACACAGGCAGGCCCGGCTCTCCCCAGAAAAGCAGGCCCCGGGACCCGGGAGAGGGGCTGGCATCCCGCAGACACGCTCGCCGGCACCCACCAGGCCTGGTGCGGGCGCCTCCCACGCGCGCTGTAGCCTGCGCGGGGCCGGGGCTCCATGGCCACCGCCGGCGGGTGCCCGGGGAGGACTCCAAACCAGGCTGGCTGCAGGAGAAGACAGCGTTTGAATGTATTAAAATAATAAAATAATCATAATAACATGAAAGGTGTCCTTGCGGTCGCTCGGCGCAAGAGCCGGTAAAGACGCGGCCCACAGGTGCGGCTTTCCCCCGGGAGTGAGGACGCGCAGACGGCTACCTCGGCAAAGGTCAAACAAGAGCACAGAGGGCCCACGAGAGGGGACGGGGCGGCCGGCGCACACCCGAGACCCTGCCCGGCGGTGGTTTGGGAAGGCTGGGGCGCGGGAGAGAGGGTACCGGAACCGCGTCCCCCCGCAATGAACAGGACCCCACCGACCGAGCGCCCGAGCCAGGCGCCCCGCGGACCAGCCCCACGCCAGAGCTGGCGCAAGGGCAGCTGCCGCCTGACAGGAAAGCCCGCACGGACACCTACCGAGCTCCGCCCGCCAGCCCGCGCGAGCGGCCCCGAAACGCCCAAACCTCGTGAGCTTCCGTACGTGAGTGCGCCGGCCGGGGGCGTCGGTGCGAGTGGAGCAGCCCGGCGCATGCGTGAAGCAGGGACACGCGCCAAGTTCCGCCCACACCAGGCGCACTGTGATTGGCTCAAACCTCCTGCGGCGCTTTCTATTGGTTCCGGGTGCTGAGCGTGCGCCCTGAGGGCGTGCGCGCGGGCGCAGACTTGGCGGCGTGGGCTGTATTGTACCGTGCGGTGTTGGGGGCTGCGCAGGTGAGCCCTGCGCGGGTTGCGTGGTGCAGGTCCCGGCAGTCCTGGCGCTGTCCCCCGTGGACCTGGCCAAGCAGGTGCTGGGGGCCTGCGCCCGGGACGTGGGGAGAGCGCTGCCCTGTGGGGCGGCCGCCGGAGCAGGGCGGGCTCCTGGGCAGTGATGGGGTCAGCTCCCGTCCGAGCCCTCGCGTGACCAGCGGTGCACCTGCCCTGTGCCGGGTGCTGCCCGCCGCCCCGGCGTACCCTGGGGTGGACGTGTGATTTCCTGGAGGTGCCAGTGGCCGAAGGAGCGTGGACCAGGGGTGGTCCATCGCCTCATCTGCGGGTTCGGTTGGAATCTGTCCGTAGGAATGGACAGTCTCCCCGGTTTAGCCACTGGCCGAGCACGGGAACGAATCTGGGGGCGCCCCTCGTGTTGCCCCGGGTTCCAGCGGCTTGCATGTATTTTGTCCATACACACGAAGAAGGCTTGTGGACGATTGAGTGAAAGGTGAAGCCCAAACTTACAAGGGGTCTTCAGAAAATTCATAGGAAATATGCATTAAGAAAAACACTGTGCGGGTATTTCAGAATGTTTTGTGCCCAAAGCTGCTTACCCTTTAATTCCGTTTTCCACAATCGTTTTCAAGTACTCTTGTAGGTACAGACACACGTGCACACTTGTTTGATATTGAATTAAATGACAAGGGGGAGTATGGGCTTCCATTAACTTTTTAAAAAATTTTAAATTTTTTTTAAAGATTTATTTGAAAGAGTTACAGAGAGAGGTAGAGACAGAGAGAGAGGTCTTCCATCTGCTGGTTCCCTCCCCAGATGGCCGCAGTGGCTGGAGCTGTACCAATCCGAAGCCAGGAGCCAGAAGCCTCTTCCGGGTCTCCCACGTGGGTGCAGGGGCCCAAGGACTTGGGCCATCTTCTGCTGCTTTCCCAGGCCTTAGCAGAAAGCTGGATTGGAAGAGGAGCAGCCGGGACTAGAACTGGCGCTTCAAGCCAGGGTGTTAACCTGCTGCACCATAGAGCCAGCCCCTTCCATTAACTTCAATACTCCGGTTAACATTGGGATCAATAGGAACCAAGAATCCAGTAATATTAATGGAATTTTTACTTGTCCCTTGTCTTAAGAAACAAAAGAATACCTAAGACGTGGAGTGATAACTAAGATAAGTGATAACTTATGGCACAACCTTTGCAGGCGTTAGGTCCTTTGTTTTATTCCTGTTTTTTCCTAATTTGATGGATTGTTTTGTCCAGGGCCATCTAGAGTCTTGTAGATTCAGTGCTAACAGATTTAGAGAAATAGCCGTGTCATACCATGTGTAGATACGTTGCATTTGTGCTTTGAGGACGGCGGGATGAGTAACAGGTGCCACTGCTTCATCCCCGTGTCTGTGTTCCAGCGTCGAGCTGTGGCTGCAGGCGGGCATGCGGAGGTTCTTGTTGCTGTACGCCACCCAGCGCGGCCAGGCGAAGGCCATCGCGGAGGAGATATGTGAGCAGGCCATGGCACACGGGTTCTCCGCTGATCTTCACTGTATGAGTGAGTCGGAGAAAGTAAGAACTGTCACTCCCAGGGGTCGCTGTGCTTTGTATGATTTGGTTGGGACACTCAATACCACCATAGTGTTTTCTTAGTAATTAGGAATTCTTATCAAATAAAGATTTTTCCAACTTTTTTTAAAACATAAAAATGTACATTTGAATTACGCTAAATAGCGTCAAAACCCACAACCACTGCTGTCACTGATAGCAGTAGCACGTGCCCCAGTTAGCTCCCGGTGGCTGTGAGAGCCAGTTTTGCACCGCGTGCATCTGAGTGCCTTGTTCTGTTTCCCCATGAGAGGCTTTGCCCATCACGTTAGAGCTCCACCAGTGAAAGCCCACCCAGATTGTCCGTGCAGTTGAACTCCAAGTGCTAGTGAACAATTCTGGAGGAGACGTGACTGCCTAAGGTCAGCGATGACGCGCCTTCACTCTCAGTCTGTAGAAGTTCCTGCCCTAGGAGACGGAAGACCTCAACAGAGGGTGGGCATTGTAGCTTCCTTGCCTTGCTGCTTGGAGCTCATGTGAACACCTAATGAAGAACACAATAGCAAAGAGTCAATTGTCTCTGTCCCCTCTCTGATTTTCCTGTTGGTAAAGGTTTGGACTAGATGGGACCTTGGCTGGGTGCCGTCTGGTGAAACACAGAGACAAGGACAAGTCAGATTCTCTGACCCTCTGGGTGAGCGTCAGCGAAGCAAGTGCTGGCCTCTGTGAGTGACTCCCTGCATCGGGGAACTTGTTGAAATCATTGCCGTGGTCATCAGGCATGCATCTCAAGTGACAGGTGGCAGGGGAAATTCAGAGGAAAAACAAGATGGGAAACCAAGCTGATTGCCTTCTGATGTGTTCATAAAAAACACATCTAGTGTCAGGTCTCTGACTGGATATCTTTGATTTGTAGTATAATCTAAAAACTGAAACAGCTCCTCTTGTTGTCGTCGTCTCTACCACGGGCACCGGAGACCCACCCGACACAGCCCGCAAGTTTGTTAAAGAAATACAGGACAAGACACTGCCACCTGATGTCTTTGCACACCTGCGGTATGGATTACTGGGTAATGGACTGTTTTCTCCTCCTGCTCTGCTGTGTTGTTACTACTTGAACTCTGGTATCTGCATATGTGTCACGCAGTTCATAGTTTTTTTTTTCTTTTTTTAAGATTATTTATTTAGTTGAAAGTCAGAGTTAACACAGAAAGAAGGAGAGGCAGAGGTGGGGGGGGAGAACAGAGAGAGAGAAAGGTCTTCCATTCACTGGTTCTCTCCTCAATTGGCCGCAATGGCTGGAGCTGCACCAATCCGAAGCCAGGAGCTTCTTCCAGGTCTCCCATGCAGGTGCAGGGGCCCAAGCACTTGGCCATCTTCCACTGCTTTCCCAGGCCACAGCAGAGAGCTGGATCAGAAGTAGAGCAGCCAGGACTCGAACTGGTGCCCATATGAGATGCTGGCACTGCAGGTGGCATCTTTACCTGCTACCCCACTGTGCCGGCCCCAGTTCATAGGTCTTTTCTGTTTTGATTTTATGTAAGAGTATACTTTTGTACACATAAAATACGTATTGTGGGTAACATGCTGTCTTGTGTGGCTGCCTCCCCAGTCTTCGCCCCTCTGCTCCACCTCTGCAGGAGCTCTGGAGTTGCACAAGGAGGACCAAGGGTGCCCATCAGATTCAGTCACAGCCTCTCCACAAGATGAGGGTGGGGGGCAGTCTTTGTTCCTTGGCTCCTCCTCTTGCTAACTCTGGCATCAGTCATTTTCAAAGCTCCTGGATGACTCTGTGAAGCATTCTGGGCTGGGTCAGATTTCCCAGGGCTCTGTGAGGCTTTAAAACACTAAGACACAGATCAGAAGGCCCAGCACAGCCAGTCTGACAGCAGAGCGGTGGATTGGCCCGTGTCGTTCCACACGGGGGTTCTGGGAGCAGAGCGTCTAACAAGGGTGGATTGTGCTGTGATCAATACGGATTGGAGATCTGAGACTGTGGCCTTGGCCTTTACCTCTCACACACAACATATTCATGACAGGATTTTACAGTGGTGACGATGATTTTTGAACTCTGCTTTCTGTATCTGAAGCGTGAACAAGAGCAGGTGTTTGGCATAAGGGTTAAGCTGCCCCATGCTCCTGCATGCCATGTTGGAATGCTGGGTTTGGGTTTTGACTCCACTCCTGATTCCAGCTCACTGCTGGGGTACCTCCTGGGACGCAGCAGTGAAGGCTCACGAAATTGGGTCCCCGCCACCCACATGGGAGACAAATTACCTTCCTGGCTCCTGGCTTCAGCCGGGCCCAGCCTTAGCTATCGAGGGCATTTGGGAAGTGAACCAGCAGATAGGAGCTTTGCTTGTCTCTCTGCCTTTCAAAGAAACAAAATAAATAAAAGAATTTTAGAATGAACATATATCGCTTTGAACATCTCTCTTAAAAATTATTTTTGGAAGCCTGTCTAACCGTTCTTACCAATGTTGTACTCGTATGTGGAGCTCACCCTGTTGGGAAGGAACAAGTAAATAATGAAACAGATATAAATTTTTAACTTGAAAATTTCCACTAAGTCTGAATATGTTAGTTCGTTTTCTTACCACAAAACATAGAAGCAATTCCTAACTGACCCAGCAGGAACTCCTCCTGGCAGGTCACTTACTGCTGCCGTGTGTCCCCGTTCTCTGGGACGGAGCCACTGAACCCCAGCAAGGGAGGGTCAGATAGCACATGTTTTAAACTTCACTGGCCAGCTGGCCTCTTTCACAGCTATTCAACTGGCTGTCAGAGCTTGAGAGCAGCTGAGGCCCAGTGTAAGCAAACAGGCTTAGCTGTGTGCCAGTAAACCTTTATTTACGAAAAAGGGCCGTGGGTGAGATTGGGCCCAGTGACAGTAGTCTGCTGACCCCCACTCGGGGTCAGAGAAGTGAGCAGATGGGATATTTTGGGATTAACCTGTCTAGTCCTTGAGCAGATTTCTGGTTTTTGCTTTAAGATTTCTGCCTTTTTACAGAGGTTCAAGGAATGTACATGTGAAATGCATTTCTCTCAGCAGTGGGCAGTGAGTGTATCTCTGAAACTTCTCTGTTGTAACAGAAGGAAGCAGCCTGCTGACCTAGGGTGCAGGAAAATAAGGAAACTAAGAACTGTGAATCGCACGTTGTTTCCCACTCCTTCTGTGAGAGCCTGGAGAGAGTGCTGTAGGAATTCTGACTACTGTCTTTTCCTTGTTGTGCACTGATTGTCTCTTTGGGGCCCTTAGGGCTGGGCGATTCAGAATACACGTTCTTCTGCAATGGGGGGAAAGTGATTGACAAACGCCTTCAGGAGCTGGGAGCCCAGCACTTCTATGACACCGGACACGCCGATGACTGCGTGGGGTAAGACGACGTGCTTGTGTGTTCTCTGGTTAGCCTTACATATCCAGGGTGAAAGCTGGGGGCTTTAAGAGAAACGCTGGCTGACACTCTGGTCTTGAGAGTCGTATTTTAGTTTCTACTATTTTTTAGCTTAAGGACCCAAGAAAGAGTAAAATTTACCTATTTTGCTATCTTTGTGTCTCATCCTTCTGAGTGTTAGTGGACAAGATGCCAGCAGGGTTCTCATTTGTAAGTGGCAGTATTGGCAGGGGTCAGTGTTTTCATTGGGAGCTTTGATAGCGAGTGTGTGCACACGGGCGAGCGACACCACCTGGCTCCTCGTGAGCAGGGCACCCTGCAGGCCACGCCTCGCTGCTGGGGAGTAGACTGCAGTCCTCGGCACTCATCCCCACCCTCTCAATGGCCGTTTGCCACCATGCTGACCACAAGTGTGCCCTGTCTCTTCATCACTTTCATTCATTTTGTCTGAATTCAGGGTTCTAGCCTGGTGGTCATGCTGGTGTGTTTGCTCAAAGGTCTTGGAGGTGTGGTCCATCATCACTCCCTCTGCATTCAGCCCTGAGCTGTGTTAAAGGAGCCTGTGCTCCCTGTGTTGGTGAGAAGTGACCGATGGAGCAGAGGTGTTCCCGCAGCTGCCTGTCACGTCCGCTCCTCCCGTGCCCTCTGCACTTGTGTGGCTGGGGTTCCACATCTGAGTGCGTGTTTCTCCTGGTTCTGACAAAGCTCTGTGACTTTCCTTGCAGTGAACTTTTACTTGTGCTCCTTATTTAGTCAGTCTTTGATGAGCTACGTGTAATTGCTGGAGGGCTCATATGATCTGCTGAGCTCGTAGGTCAGCCACGTTTTACTTCCCTTCATCAGAGTTGTTTTCTCTGTTCATTTACTGGATCAGATATTAAAAGTCTTGAATATGTGGGTGCTTGAAAGAGTTAATGGGAAAACGGAAATAGAATAAAAGTTTATTTTGGTGCAGAACATTTTGAAATCCATGCATTTGAGTGCCTTAAAAATGTTGATGATAAATTTGTATTATGAACAGACTATAGATTTCAAAATTTTTTTGTACCAGAATAGATTTATCTTTCAATTCTATTTTTCACAGACTGTTTGAAATACCTTCCTATTCCAGTGGCCTGTGCCTCTGAAATTTCCACCCTGACTCGAGTTTTCCCCTTTCTGACATGATGGTAGTACCCAGAGGGCATTTTTGCTCAGAGAACACCGTTCTGAAGGGTAAAGAATGCACACTTGAGTCCGGATTCCTGAGTTTGAATCTTTGATTGTCCCCTTACTGACTGGCCTTTGGTCACATTACTTACCCATTTACTGGCCTGGTTTTTCATCTATGAAATAGGCAATAATACATGTACTCAGTGAGCCTCTTGGGAGGAGCAAAGGAATCGGACTTATGTTGACCTCCTAGAACCGTGCCTGTCATCTGGTAGTCACTCAGTGACCTGCAGCTCTCTTCACAGTAATGGATGTTGTCACTTTAATAGTTCTGGGTTCTGAGAAGGAGATCTTAAACATGGTTGGGGGGCAGGCACCGTGGTACAGCGGAGAAAGACACTGTTTGGGACACCCACATACCTAGCTTTGAGTCCTGCCTCTGCTTCCTACTGATGCACACCCTGGGAGGCAGCAGATGATGGCCGAGTACTCGGGTTCCTGTCACCCCTGTGAGAGACCCGAGGGAAGTTGCTGGCTCCTGGCTTCGGCCAGCCCTTCACCTGTCTGTTTTAGGCATTTGAGGAAGAAGCAGCAGGTAGAAGATCTCCATCTTGGTCTGTCCTTCTACCTCTCAGATAGATAGATAGATAGACAATAGATAAATAGGGAGATCTTTTTTTTTTTAAACTTTTATTTAATGAATATAAATTTCCAAAGTACAGCTTATGGATTACAATGGCTTCCGCCCCATAACGTCCCTCCCACCCGCAACCCTCCCCTTATCCACTCCCTCTCCCCTTCCATTCACAGCAAGATTCATTTTCGTTTCTCTTTATATACAGAAGATCAGTTTAGCATATATTAAGTAAAGATTTCAACAGTTTGCTCCCACACAGAAACATAAAGTGAAAAATACTGTTTGAGTACTAGTTATAGCATTCAATCTCAATGTACAGCACACTAAGGACAAAGATCCTACATGAGGAGCAAGTGCACTATGACTCCTGTTGTTGACTTAACAAATTGACACTCTTGTTTATGGCCTCAGTAATCACCCTAGGCTCTTGTCATGAGTTTCCAAGGCTATGGAAGCCTTTTGAGTTCACCGACTCTTATCTTATTTAGACAAGGTCATAGTCAAAGTGGAAGTTCTCTCCTCCCTTCAGAGAAAGGTACCTCCTTCTTTGATGACCCGTTCTTTCCACTGGGATCTCACTGGCAGAGATCTTTCATTTAGGGTTTTTTTTTTTGTTTTTTGTTTTGTTTTTTTTTTCCCCCCCAGAGTGTCCTGGCTTTCCATGCCTGAAATAGGGAGATCTTTTAAACATAATTCTGTCAGCTTGCTGTCAGGAAGCACGTTTTGATCTGTGCACCATGTGAGTTCTGACGAGACAGTGACGTGGTCCTGCTCTTCATGGCAATTTCGGTTTATGAATTAGACATTGACAGGTAGCTCCCTTGAGTTGGGATTAAACATGATGAAGTTGTGATTTCCAGCCCTCTACATGGCCTTCCTTACCCACTCACTTCACCCACACTCTCTGCTCAGGGGTGGAGGGAACCCTGTGCCTGAGTACTTTGCTGGTAAGTGGATCGCCACTTTGGAGGAGTGTATTTATGCTTAAGTCAGCTTCCCTAAGAAATGTTTGTCCTTTCTCCCTGCAGTCAGCCACCTGGGGAATTTTAGGAAAAAAAAAAAAGATTGAAAAGTTTGGACTGTTTATTTAACCAAAAGATTTGCCATTAATATACAGTGATTTTTTTAAAAATTTATTTGACAGGTAGAGTTATAGAGAGACAGAGAGAAAAGTCTTCCTTCCGTTGGTTCACTCCCTAAATGGCCACTATGGCCGGAACTGCGCTGATCTGAAGCCAGGAGCCAGGTGCTTCTTCCTGGTCTCCCAAGCACCTGGGCCACAGCAGAGAGCTGGACCAGAAGAGGAGCAGGGGGGACTAGAACCAGTGCCCATATGGGATGCCGGCGCCACAGGTGGAGGATTAACCAAGTGAGCCATGGTACCGGCCCTACAGTGATTTTTTTTTTTTTTTTTGGTGCTATTTTAATCTAAGGGGAAAAGATCAGTGAAGTGGCCAGGCAGAAATAGATGGGGCATGCCGTTGGAGAATGACTGTGACATCAGAGTAGCTGTTTTAAGTTGCGTTTAAATAGTGTTTTAAGTTGTTAGCTGCCTCAGTGTAACATCCCTATTTAAAATTGTAGGTTCTGAAAAATAAAGATAACCGATTATTTTAAGGAGTCAAGAGGAGTGACGTTTCTCTTATTACTGAAGTGTCTTCCCGTCCCACTTTGTTTCTCTGACCTGTGTTCACGCTCATATTTTGTGTCGCTTCAGTGCTACTGATAAACCCAGAATGTCCTGCTTTTTAAAGCTCGATCGTTGGCAGTTTTGTGTTCTGAGCAGTCTTCGTGTTCACTGTTCTGACAGTTGCACAGAACACTCTGAGAAAAGCACAGACCCCGCCATTGTCCCAATATTCTGTGTTCCAGGGCTGCACTCAGGCTTTCATGTCTTCCTTTTCTTATTGCCATCCAGTTTAGAGCTCGTGGTTGAGCCGTGGATCGCCGGGCTCTGGGCCGCCCTCACCAAGCACTTTGGGTCCAGCAGAGGACGAGAGGAGATGAGTGGAGCTCTCCCAGAGGCCCCGAGTGCCTCCTTAAGGACAGAGCCGGTGCAGCCAGAGCTGTTACACATCGAATCTCAGGTCCGGCATCTGAGATTAGATGACTCAAGAGGAAGGGACTCGGAGGGTTCGAAACAGAACGCAGTCAGCAGCGCTCAGTCCGGTGCTTTGATTGAAGGCTTGGAAGCTACGCTCACCCGTTCTGTGCCCCCGCTCTCTCAAGCCTCCCTCAATATTCCTGCTTCGCCCCCGGAATACCTGCAGGTGCATCTGCTGGAGTCTGCCGGCAAGGTGAGCGATTGGACTTTGTGCTTTGGGCTGTGTGATGCGATCGAATCACGGAAGTTTGCTTTCCCTTTTTGCTTCTATTAATTATGTTAAAACAGACATCAGCAAGCTGTGGCTTGCCTACCACCACCTTCCTCCTGAGATAGTGCACTGTTTTGCATTTTCCATCATGGTGAGGCAGGGGAAGTGGGGTCAGATCCAGGGGCTTACCCTAGGCCTTTCCCGCTGTGATAGCTCTTTCCCTACAGCCCGGTAATCTAGTGTGTGGCTTTGCCATTTGCCAGCTGCTGAGAACCTTCTGGAGGTCATAGGACCTGGTGAACCCCCTGAGGCAGACCTGAGCTAAGACTCCATTTGCTCCCTGAGCTGCCAAGTGGACTCTGATGGCCCTTTGGGACCCTGGGTACTAGTGTCAACATGGACCTTCTTGTAACAGTCCCCAAAATGTTCCAGCATGTACATGGACTCCTTAGAAGGGCAGGGTCATTTCCAAGTGCAGTCGCTGTGCTGTGACAGTCTCTCTTCCTAGGGATGTGCCCCTGTGTAGGCAGTAGGGTCAGTGTCTCGATACTGGCCCAGAGGTCTTCAGTTTTCATTGAGGCAGTCGCCTGGAGCCTCCCTGTCTTCTCTCCTTGGTTTCTTTTCATTGTAAGGATTGATCCAACGTCCTTGTTAGCTGCCCGTTGGTTTTGACCCTAGGGACAGCATATTCTTAGCCATCGCTGAGGGTCCATCCCAAGGGCCGGTCTCCCTGCCTGCCCATCTGAACTTTGTACTCACTGGGAGGGTGTGGGAGGGTGTGCCCACCTGCCCTCCACTGTCTGGGGGTCCGGCCTTCCCACTGCTGTTGGCCCCAGCCTGGGGGAGGCTGACCCTGAACGCCCCAGGGATGCTGGTGCCCTCTCACCCGCATGGTCCCGACGGCCTCAGCGGCGATGTCTCGTTGGTGCTCCCATAGAGCATCACCCACTGATGGTTTGGGGCTCTGCATGCTTTATCTGCTCTCCAACTTAGGAGCCTTTTCCTTCCTTCTCCAAGTGCTGGTGTGGCAGCCCCGCCATTCCTGCCTCACTTGGAGTGGCTGTTGCTCTCTCCTCGCTGCTGGAAGCTACTCAGCATGCTCACATGGTCTCTGGGAGCTCCTGCCAGGGAGGAATTTAACTCTGAGTGCTGGGAGGGTGTTCCAGAGTCAGAGAGCTCCCTGGCCCACGTTTACGTTCTGCCTCCTCGCTCCAGGACATCTTCATTCTGTCTCTGCTCACTCTCCTGGCTCCTGGCTCCTCCCGGGCAGCTTGCTGTCCTGTACTTACTTTGCCTTCCTTGGCTGGCCCAGCTCTTTATCAGCTGAGTGTGTTGTGACTTGATGCTGGTCCCGGGCCCAGCAGCCAGGAGAGGGCGTAGATGGAGGGCCGGCGTCTTGTGGTCAGAGCTCCCTGCAGGAAGGGAATCCTTGCTCTATAACGGGGGGGCTTATGTGAGCTCAGAATGGGAATCTGAGGCTTTGAGATTTCCTGCCCACTGCCAGGACTCCACTCTTGCCTCAGCTTCTTGAGCTTCCTCGGGTTGCAGATGAGGCTTCTTTGTCAGACACTTAGGATGTCCGCTGGCCTCCACACTAAGTCTGTAGAGCTTGGTTACTCACTTTCTTTCACGTTTTGCAGTTTCTCGAGTGTCGGTAAGGCTTGGCAGTGGCCCCAGTGTGCTGTCCCCGTTGTTCCTGAGCAGCTGAAATATCGCAGTCTGACGTGCTGCCTTCTGCTGGGCTGCCGTCCTCCCTAGCATGTGCATTGCTGCCTGGCTGCCACCATCCCTCGGGGATTCCCACTGTCAGCAGGTGTCGAGTGATCCAGCTCGAGATGCCCATTTAGCTTCCTTCTCAGGCCACTCGGGCGCCCACTGTCACAGGATGGCTTCCCAGGACTCAAACTAGGAGGTGTTGGGACGTTCTCTTGGATCATCACCCTGGAGAAGAGGGGAACAGAAACAGGTCTGGGCCCCGTGAGAAGCTGAGCCAGGATGCAGTCTGAGCAGGGGCCCCAGCCAAGGCCCTTGGGGTCTGCAGAGCTAGTTGGGCCTTCAGAATTCTGAGTTGGTGGAAGGGGCTGCACCGTTGTGTCACTGAGGAGTCGTCAGAGTGGGTGCGACTGAGAGGAGGCCAGGTCTGGGGCGAGGTGTTTACCTGCAAGTGCCGAGCGGATCCTCTCGGGAACACAGCGTGCTGAGAGCTGACTTCCAACAACCCTGCAGCCATCTTTGCTGAGGGCAGTGCAGCCATCTTTGCTGAGGGCAGCCTCTCAGGGGTGCTGAGGGCCCCCACATTATGGCTCCCAGGTAACCCATCGTGACCCTCCCAGCTTTCCCATTTAGCCACTTGTGAAATTCGTCATCCACCACTTGTTAAAAAGCTGGTTTCTATTTTTAAACATATTGATGAGGCGATACGAAGAATTGGATTTCTTCAGCGTTTCCCCAGACCTATGCTGTCCAGGACAGGAGCCCCTAGCCACATGCAGCTGCTGAAATGTGAACGAATGAACATTAAGTAAAATGAAGAATTCAGTTCCCTGTCAAACTGGCCAGATTCTAGGTGCCCAGCAGGCACATGCAGAGCCGCCTGGGTCACAGAGAACATCTCCGTCACCGTGGAAGGCTGCTACACCGCACCCCAGCACCTGGGCTTCCTGTGACCATCTACACAGCCACGCTGCAGGCTCAAACATCTGTCGTTTCCTTCAGGGTCTCCTTCCAGAAGCGTGTGCATTTGCAGTATTTGGCTTTACCACTGGTAAATTAGGAGACTGCTAGGTCTTCAGGTGGTAGGGCTGTTTTTGTCTTCGTGTATTTCAGAAATTCCTAATGTCTGATAAGCAGGCTGTGGGCTACAGATGAGCTTCTCTTGTGAAAAATGAGATGCGTGGGTCTGAACCTGTTGACCTTAGCAGGGAGTGCCAAGTAGCAAGGGGCTTTGTAAGCTTCGTAGTGCTTGCATAGTCACTAAGTGAGGGGATGGTGCGATAGAAAATCACATTCACCTGCATTGCATCACGTTTGTTTCTCAAGGAGGAGAGCCAGTCGTCTGTGCCTTCAGCGGATCCAGTTTTTCGAGTTCCGATTTCAAAGGCCGTTCAACTCACGAGGAACGATGCGGTGAAGACCACTCTGCTGCTAGAATTGGACATCTCCGTAAGTTGCACGGTTTCTTTGCCAGCATTGATCCCCGTGGTGCTTGGTCGCCCGCTCAGGAGAAGCTGGAAGTCCCTGACGGCACAGCTGGCTGTCCTGTTCTTGGTCCCCCTCCGCGTGCCTGAGTTCTTTCCACTTCAGGGAGGGGGTAAGATGGGTGGCGGGAGGTGATTCAGCTGCAAGGGTGCAGTTGCTGCCTTTGCAGAGCTGTAGGTCAGCCAGCTGGTTAACAGGCAGAGCTCAGACTGGACGGTTCTGTGCGGGTCAGCTTCTCAGAGCCAAGATGGCTTCCTCAGAGAATATGGAAAAAATGAGGGGTTCGCTCCAGAAAATTGATGGTGTAGAAACACTTGCATAGTTTCCGGGCTTAAGCACTGGCTCTCTGGGCTCCCACCGTGAGCCCTGGCCTCTGCATGCATCCCTCTAGGCTGCGGGGGTCATGGCCTGGCACATAGACTTGATCTGGGGAGTGGCTTTCTCTCCAGCACGTGTGTGCTCGTGACCAGGACCAAGCCACGTAGTGTGATGTTTTATGTTCATTAAGGAAATTGTAACATGTCTTCTCCCACCCCTGTTTCTCACCAAAGGGAAAGGACAAAGTAAGGAAATGGAAAATCAGTGTGGGTGATTTTTGTTAGTTTTTTTGTGGTCATTGTGTGTGTGTGTGCACACCTGTGCATGTTGTTGTAAGAGGGATTTTCACCACAATTTGAAAAACACTGTGGTACCTTACTCTGCATAAAATAAGAAGGGTCTGATTTCCCTTCTGTAACTATGCAGTGAAACAAGGCAGGATACTGGGTCACACCTGAATTTCATTTTCAGAGTAACTGCTGATACATGTATATTGGCTTTGTTTGAGTTCATATATTAAAATTATTTTCTGGGCCGGCACCATGGCTCACTAGGCTAATCCTCCACCTGCGGCGCTGGTACTCCTGGTTCTGGTCTTGGTTGGGGCGCCGGTTTTGTCCCGGTTGCTCCTCTTCCAGTCCAGCTCTCTGCTGTGGCCCAGGAGGGCAGTGGAGCATGGCCCAAGTCCTTGGGCTCTGCACCCGCATGGGAAACCAGGAGGAAGCACCTGGCTCCTGGCTGCAGATCTGTGCAGCGCCAGCCATAGCGGCCATTTGGGGGGTGAACCAATGGAAGGAAGACCTTTCTCTGTCTCTCTCTCTCACTGTCTAACTGCCTGTCAAAAAAAAAATATATTTTCTGAGTTCATATATTAAAATGGTCATACAACGAGAGTATGTTTTCGTTACTCCACAACTTAAACTCTTCAACCAAAACTTTCATTTTGGTTCTTCTTTAGAAAACAAATTTTTCTTATCAGCCTGGAGATGCCTTCAATGTGGTCTGTCCCAACAATGGTCCTGAGGTGCAGAACCTGCTGGAAAGACTGGAGCTCGCAGACAAAAGAGAGCACCGTGTGCTCTTGAGCCTTAAGGCAGACACCAAGAAGAAAGGTACCACCCTGGTGCTAGGACTTCCTGGGTGTCCTGGGGCAGTGGTCTGCAGCCAGCAGGCCAGAGAGCGCCAGGCCATTCCTGCACAGGTGTAGGGGCCTGCCTGGGGGCCAGCAGGGGGAGCAGAGGCAGCCCAGATGTCACCAGGCTCTTGCCTTCCGCATTCCTCACGCTGAAGGTGCTGGTGGATTCTGTGCTTACTGGACTCCTGTGCACGGGACAGGTGAAAGGAGCTGTGAGAATATTAAAGAAAGTCCTTTCCTGTTATGTTTCCTTCTCATCACTTGGTTCTCATTACTTATTTGTTACATATAAGTAATTGCTTTTTCCATAATTAAAATGCTATTTATTTTTTCAAATATAAATATGTGCTGTATGCCTAGAATCTTGAACTTGCGGTTAGTCCTAAAACTCTTTTTGAGAACAATACTCTAATTCTGATGGAGCACTACCATCTTGGGTTTTTTAATTCCTCAATTTTAGATAATTTTCCTATCTTTCATTTTGCCTACTTTGCATTTATGACTCTTGCTTTTGGGTGGGGCTTTTCTGCGGTCTTCATTTTGCTGACCGTACATTGCCACAGACCGTCTTGCCCTGTGACAGCAGCGTGATGTCAAGGAGTGTGGTTTGGGAGAAAGCACGGCACCCGATGCCTTCCACGTCGTGAGCCTTTCCCTGTCTTGCTGAACAGGAGCTGCCTTGCCCCCGCACGTCCCCGAGAGCCGCTCACTCCAGTTCATTTTCACCTGGTGCCTTGAAATACGAGCAGTTCCTAAAAAGGTATTCTTCTGTCTTCTCTGTATAACTGTTTTAAAATATGCTTAGCTCGTGTAGGACTTACATTAACTAGATCTGATATCTGTCTTTGACAGTCTTAACAGAATGTGCTTTTCATAGCATGTTTAGAAAAGTAGTTCCCGAGGAGGAGTGGTATCGTTATAATTGGCATAGGCAAATATATTTATGTTGGGCTTGCATTGAAATTATTTATGTTTTCTGCAGAATGAGATTATAAAAATAGGATTTTTGTTCGTGTTATTTTTACTAGACATTAACTTTATATAGCAGTTACACAGTGATGAAATTCTCCACGGGTAACCTTCATTCCCCAGCTACGCATTGCCATCTCTCTCTGATGACAGAAAGCCTGCGAGAGCTGAGGGCCCCACCCCACTTGCCACCTCCTGTAGTTACTTAGGTCTCTTTTGTGTAGTGCTGCATACTTACTTATTGGTGAGGCAGACTTCTTTGGGGAAAATTGAAGGTTTTCATAGGTTAGTTATACTGCTGTTTAGAAGAATTTAGAGATGGAATGGTCCACTAGATGTCAGTATCATATTAAGAACTATATTTTTAAAATACTGTTTTTTTTTCCCCCTTAACTATTTTTCTCAGTTGACTGTTAGAAGGTAAAATTTTCCACTTTTTTCCTGGCCAAGAGGTGTTGTCAGTGAGTACAAAGAGGCTGGCACCGCGGCTCAATAGGCTAATCTTCCGCCTGCAGCACCGGCACACCGGGTTCTAGTCCTGGTCAGGGAACTGGATTCTGTCCCGGTTGCCCCTCTTCCAGGCCAGCTCTCTGCTGTGGCCCGGGAGTGCAGTGGAGGATGGCCCAAGTGCTTGGGGCCTGCACCCCATGGGAGACCAGGAGAAGCACCTGGCTCCTGGCTTTGGTGCACCGGCCGCAGCAGCCATTGTGGGGTGAACCAACGGCAAAGGAAGACCTTTCTCTCTCTCTCTTTCTGTCTCTCTCACTGTCCACTCTGCCTGTCAAAAAAAAAAAAAAAAAAAGAAGAGGTGAGTACAAAGATACTGAAATGAGGCTGCCCTTTCCACAAAGTGCTGTATTCATGTGTTTATTGCATTTCTAGTCTTTGGGAAGCAAACTACTTTAGAGAGAGGCTTAGCTGTAGGTATCATTTGATTAAATCATTTGATTAAATTTAGGGTTGATGCATTGTGATGAGAACTTCTAGATTAAATGCAATAAATTCGTAACTTTGGTTCAAATTTAACATTTTTTACTTTTTTGCTTGTGTGAATATATATATATATATACATTTTATATATATTCATTTTGATTTCCTGCAAAACCAATATGCTCCTTGTAAAAATTCTGGATTCAGAAATAAGTAACCCAAGAAGGGAAGTTCCCTAATCCTGCTCTCAGTGTTTGCATTTTCTTTTGCTGAGAAAAAAAATGAATCTTAAGATATACAAAGTGACTTCAAAAAGTTCATGGTAAACAGAATTAAAAGATAAGTTTATTTTGGTACAAAAAAGTTTAAAATCCATGGATAGTGTTTTCATAATATACATTTTCTGAGAATTTTTTTGGAAACCACTTTTTTGTACTGTTCTATAACTTCTCTGTTTTACTTAAAAATAGGCAAGTGTTTACCCCTTTCAGCATGGGTAGACTGAAAATATCTAGTGGATGCAGCATAATTTATTGGTTTACTTAGTTGTGGGCGATTGGTTGTTTCCAGTTGTCCACTATTTCTAGAAACCGCCTAGGTGAACATGAACATATGCTATAAGGCTGTATTAATATGGTACATATTTATTTGAAGTGTTTTTGCAAGATAAATTCCTCGAAGTATAATTACCATTTTAAATATCTGCAGTGTACATGGTGGTGATGTTTCTCAGCCTTGTCAGCAGTGCGGCATTTCCTGTGTTAGCACCGCGAGGTCTGGGACCACCCCCAAAGCAGCGACCTCGGCCCTGCTAAGGGAGCGCAGGACACGACGGTCGTGAGCTGTGGCATAAGAAGTGACCGTAGCCATCAGTATTTCATGCAGCATTTGACAGGGATGACAATAAAATGCTGTGTTCCTGAGCTGCACGTGTCACACAGGACTAGGTCTGGACTGCATCGAAGCCGACAGTGGCTATAGCGAGTCCGGTGTCTTGTCCGGGAGTTTGGGCTGCTTCTTTGTAGGATTTTCCCAGCAGGGCGGCATCAAATCAGATGGTAGCTTCTGTTTTCCTGACAGCACTCCTCGTGGCTGCCTCCCTTTTTCTTGGGGAATCGGGCACGTCCCAGGCAGAGACCGAGCACTCTCACGGTTGTCAGCACGGGGCACGTGTCACTTACGGCAGCCTCCTTTGCCCAGGCGTTTCTGCGAGCCCTCGTGGACTGCACCAGCGACGGTGCTGAGAAGCGCAGGCTACAGGAGCTGTGCAGCAAACAGGGAGCGGCCGATTACAACCGCTTCGTCCGAGACGCCAGCGCCTGCCTCCTGGACCTCCTCGTCGCCTTCCCGTCCTGCCGGCCGCCGCTCGGCCTCGTGCTCGGTGAGCGGCTGCCTGCCCAGAACCCCCACTCTGTGTGCTCTCGGGTAGGCGTCCTTGGCGGGACAGCAGCCTTACGGATGTCGTGCAGTCCTGTGCAGACGTCGTGGGGTCACGCTGAGTGCGGGAGGTCTGTGACAGACTGGGGCGGTGACACCTGAGCCGTCTCCTGGGAGTCCGTCTGCACGCTTTCTGATTTCTCGTTTTTCTCCTTCCAGTGTCACTATCATTTTCTCTTAGTGTATCCACTCTTCTCCCTTTCTTTGCGGCTCAGAATTTAGCATTTTTAAAATGTACTTGTTTTTTTCCAAGAAGTTATTTTGCTGATCTGTTTTTCTAAAAGTGAATTTTATAAGAAAAAACATGATCTTTTTCAAAAATAGTGAATGTGGCACATAATTGACAGTTTAACCACCCCCACACCCTGCGTGCGCAATGCAGAAATGCCCCTGCCTGGGAAAATCCAGACTGAGGGTCTTTATGTATTTATTTATTTTTAATTTTTTATTTTTGGACAGGCAGAGTTAGACAGTGAGAGAGAGAGAGAGACAGAGAGAAAGGTCTTCCTTTTCTGTTGGTTCACCCCACAATGGCCGCTGCGGCCGGTGCATCGCGCTGATCCGAAGCCAGGAGCCGGGTGCTTCTCCTGGTATCCCATGTGGGTGCAGGGCCCAAGCACTTGGGCCATCCTCCACTGCACTCCCGGGCCACAGCAGAGAGCTGGACTGGAAGAGGGACAACCAGGACAGAATCTGGCGCCCTGACCGGGACTAGAACCCAGTGTGCTGGCGCCGCAGGCAGAGGATTAGCCTAGTGAGCCGCGGCGCCGGCCTGAGAGTCTTTTGAGAGCAAAGGGGGACTCATGACGCCTGTCCCTGCCGATGCACTCGGGGCTCGCAATCCGGAAAACCGCAGGTGAGAGCGTGCCCAAGCTCCTTCCTTCCAGCACAGGGGTCTCTCCTGACCATGTCAGTAGGGCCGGACAGTGGCTCTGAGAACTGACCATGTCAGTAGGGCCGCACAGTGACTCTGAGAACTCCTGACATCTCAGTAGGGCCGCACAGTGGCTCTGAGAACTCCTCACCGTGTCAGTAGGGCCGGACAGTGACTCTGAGAACTCCTGACCGTGTCAGTAGGGCTGCACAGTGACTCTGAGAACTCCTGACTGTGTCAGTAGGACTGGACAGTGACTCTGAGAACTCCTGACTGTGTCAGTAGGGCCGGACAGTGACTCTGAGAACGCCTGACCGTGTCAGTAGGGCCGGACAGTGACTCTGAGAACTCCTGACCGTGTCAGTAGGGCCGGACAGTGACTCTGAGAACTCCTGACCGTGTCAGTAGGGCCGGACAGTGACTCTGAGAACTCCTGACTGTGTCAGTAGGACCGGACCCTGACTCTGAGAACTCCTGACCATGTCAGTAGGGCTGGACCCTGACTCTGAGAACTCCTGACTGTGTCAGTAGGGCTGGACCCTGACTCTGAGAACTCCTGACCGTGTCAGTAGGGCCGGACAGTGACTCTGAGAACTCCTGACCATGTCAGTAGGGCCGCACAGTGACTCAGAACTCCTGACTTTGTCAGTAGGGCCGGACAGTGACTCAGAACTCCTGACCATGTCAGTAGGGCCGGACAGTGACTCTGAGAACGCCTGACCGTGTCAGTAGGGCCGGACAGTGACTCTGAGAACTCCTGACTTTGTCAGTAGGGCCGGACAGTGACTCTGAGAACTCCTGACCATGTCAGTAGGGACCAGACAGTGACTCTGAGAACTCCTGACCATGTCAGTAGGGACCAGACAGTGACTCTGAGAACACCTGGGATTTCAGACCTTCGCTGCTCTCCTATCCTTTTGAGTCTGTGCTCTCTGTGTTCCTGTGGTGGTGAGCGTTACCTTTACCGTCTGCGTGTCTGGTGATGCCAGTCCCCGGCCTGTCTCCTTTGTACAGCGGGGCCTGCAGTGTCCCTCCGCTGCCCAGGACAGTGAAGGTACTCCCTTTGTCAGGTCGGTTCCTGATTTCTCATCCTTGCTATTTCGTAGTGTCCTTTTTCTTTCCTCTTCCTGAAAATGGTAGAAAAATGGGCTTGAAAATGTCACCACGTTTTAAATTAATTCTATAAATTTAAAAAGGAAAAATATTTCAAGCCCAAGTAGTCCCAGTAATCCTTAAAATAGGGGTCTTTGATCTTGTGGAGTTGAGGACTTTGCTTGGACTCTGAAATGTCTGACGTTTCTCCCTGGACAACTGCACGTAAGCGTAAACATGTGATGAGTTTCTGGAGCCACAGGCGTCTTCATGGACCCTATTCATGGTGTCTTGTGGCGATCACCTGCGCCCCAGTCCACGTCCCCAGCCGTGAGGGAGAAGCCCCTCTCCCGTGCAGTCCGCCTCAGACGCGTTCCTCGCGCGTGATGGTGCACGTGGAGGAGTGGTCAGCTCCCAGCCGGCCGCTCGCCCACGCCCCCTGCGGCGCGTTGTGATAGATACAACTGCTCACCCGCGAGCTCTTCACGGCCTGCATCGCCAGCGCTCCCAGTCTTCCAGCAGCGTCTTCTGGTTTAACAGACCAGCGCGTGGGTAGACATACTGATTTCAGAATAAGGGAGTGTGTTCTATCTGGTCTCTAACTTTAGGAGTTGAAGGAAAGTTCGTATTTTCTTAGCCCCCAAAATATGATTTAAAGCTAGGATATTAGTTATTTTGAATATTCCAAATAAAAGAAATTAAGAATTAAATTTAGGCTTTGAATTTTTTTTTTGCATTTTTGATAATAAGGTTATTTTCAGTATCAGCAAAGTTAATGATTTTTTTTTTTTCTAGAACATCTTCCTAAACTACAGCCCAGACCATATTCATGTGCAAGGTACGTGTATTTTTTTAACATAACAGCATCTTTTCCTCAAAACCTTAGGCAGGTCAGGCTTCAGATCCTTCCTGCTTATGACGCGGGAAAGCTCACCAGCCGTGTGGAACACGAGCGTCCTGAGGTGTGGACGCATGAGGCACACGGGCCTGCCCTCCAGGAACTCGGGAGTGGGACCTTCAGAGGCTCCCTGTGGCCCCGGGCTCAGTTTTGCCTGCATCAGGCATGGGGGTCTCCAGGGCGGCAACCTGTTTTCTGTGTTGGTGTGCTAGGCCTCTGTCACCAGGGAGGGTTCCATTGTGCACCCCTCCACGGTGATCATACAAGAAGTGCACCTGTGGGAGTGAGCACTCATCAGTGCGTTCATTCTTGTTACTCAGTGTGTAGTACAACAGGCAGAGATATGTTTTGGCTTTTAAGATTTATTTGTTTGAAAGGCAGTTGTAGAAAGAGGGAAAGAAAGAGAGAGAGATCTTCCACGCACTAGTTACTCCCCAAATGTCCACAGCAGCCAGGGCTGGGCCAGGCCAAAGCCAGGAGCCTGGAACTGCATTTGGGTCTCCCACGTGGGTTCAGGAGCCCAACCACTTGGGCCATCTTCCACTGCTTTCCCAAGCACATCAGCGGGGAGTTGGATCAGAAAGTGGAAAACCGGGACTCGAGCCAGCACCCCTATGGGTGCTCCACGTTGTGGAGTTTGTGTCCAGCACCCCTATGGGATGCTGGCAGGCAGTGGCCTGATCCACTGCTCCAGGACACTAGCCTCTGTAGCAGTCGTTTCAAGGTGGTTTTACTTAGAAGTTTTAGCTTTCTGGATATTTGTACTTCATCTGCTTTCAGATTTTATCGTCCTAACAGTAAACGATACGTGGGCTCCTGGTCGGGACTTGTGTCTGTTCATTCACACAGTAACGAGGCCTTACAGATGTTGACTGAAGACCCTTTTCTAGTCTCAGGGCAAGCAGATAAGCCTGGCAGTGCTCCCGGGTGATGGCGCAAAGCAGGCCGTCTGGCGCCTGGAGGTCGGGGGGATTTGAAGCAGTGGTGTCACCTGTGTGTGTGTGTCTTTGCAGCTCCAGTCTGTCTCACCCAGGGAAGCTGCACTTTGTCTTCAACGTTGTGGAGTTTGTGTCCAGCGCCACGACCGTGGTCTTGCGGAAGGGCTTATGCACCGGCTGGTTAGCTGCGGCGGTCGCCTCATTTCTTCAGCCAAACACCCAAGACGCACGTGCAGACGGCGGGCAGGGCCTGGCCCCTCAGGTACTGCAGAAGCGAGCATGTGCAGCGTCGTTGAAATCCTGCTCTGCCTGCTTATCCTGCATCAGGCTGCCGAGAAGGAGCCCTGGGCTGTGTGTGAATTTTCACATCTCTGCTCGAGGGGAAGAGAACATTCCCTTTCACTCACCCTTGAGCTGGCCCGCATCTTCCTGAATGCGTAATGCATGGTTTTCTGGGACAGTCTCTTCTCCTCACTTGCCTTCTCCACTCAGGGAGAAGGACGCGGATCCTCTGGATTCTGGTCGTTGGCCCAGGGCGGGGCGGGGAGTCCATCCAGTAGGGATCAAGGAATGGTAAGGGCAGTGACATTTTATGTTCAGGCCGGATCCCAAGTGTGCTGACAGCCAAAGGTTAACTTCACATTCTCCAGTTTGGGGTGTCAGGGTTTCCCCCTGTCCCTCTTTCTCTATTTTTGTCATCTCCCTGTCCTGCAGGATCTGAATTAGAAAAAAAAGTTATGGTAGTGTAGCACTTAAAACACCTGGAAAACACAAGTTCTGATTTTCTGAACACATCGTGGACACGTTTGTACGTGGACTTCACAAACCCCGTGTTCAGCCGCATAAGCAGGGAGCAGTTCACGGTTGTCCTCCTTGCCCTTTGGAGTGATTTTATCCTGGAGTCGTCTTTCTCCGTATGTCATTTGAAGTGTCTTGACAAGTTTGGTTTCTTTAGGTTACTAGGGTTGAAAAGGTCGTGGCCCTCAGGCGTAACGTGGACTTGTGATGGACACTCAAGAGGCCTCAGGGAAAACCGCTGCTGGGAACTGCCCTCTAACTTGGCGATTTCCCCGTCCACCACCTGAACAGAGAAGTGCTTTACAGACTTGCTCATTGCGTGTTGGCAGAACGGTGGGGACCCGAGAGGCTGTTCTCTATCAAAGACAACACCACCACAGGCTCACATAAGCGTGCAGGTCGCTTTATGATTGTAGAGAGAGCAGGTGGTCAGCAGAGAGTGATGGCTGTTTAAGGCATGAGCACAGGTGCCTTTCACACAGGCTGTCCTTCTTCCCTCCCTGTTCTCCTTCCTGCATTCCCCACGTTAACAGGTTTTAGTTGACTGCGCAGTGGGTATGTAGTAGATACAGACAGAAAGGAAACGATGCTATCTAAATCTCATTGTGCTTTACGTGGTGCGTATTCTACAGATGCCGCACAACCTCTCCCACCTGCGGCCCCAGTGTTGTCTGTGGGAGGGGTCTGTCTGTGAGAGCAGTGGACCCTCCCCTGCCCCCTTGTTAAGCCAGCTGTGTGAGAAGATGGGACATCACCAGCCACGCCCAGGCAGGTGCACCCAGTCTGATGCTGTGTGCACTTGCCTCGCCCTCTGTCCTGCTGTGAGGACAGGCATGAGTGGGTTGGGCTCTTTCCCCTTGGATCCAGGTGAAGGACATCCCTGGGGCAGATCTGTAGCCAGCCTGCAGCCTTCAAGTAAGGAGAATCAGATCCTGAGTCAGTTGCATCAGCCATCTGGGATTTTCTGTAGCAAAAGCTGAGCAATCGTGTGGCTTCCTTTCTGTCCTAGGACACAGAAAATGTGCTCTCACGTCTGGGTTTTTGTACTTGTTCTTCTCTGCTGAGAACAAGCTCTGGCATAGCCAACAATCACTATTATTTTTTTCTGTTTATTCATTCAGTTACAAGGCAGAGTGACAGAGAAAAGAGAGAGACAAAGAGAAGCCTTCCCATCTGCTAGTTCACTCCCTAAATCCCACAACAGACAAGGCTGGCTCAGGCTGAAGCTAAGAGCCAGAAATTCCACTCAGGTTTTCCAAGACTGAAGGAACCATCATCCACTGCCTCCCAGATCCATCAGCATGAAGCTGGGCCAGAAGTGCAGAGTCGCTAGGACTGGAACTGGCACTCTTGAGCTGAGTCGTAGGAGGCCCACGTGGTGGCTTAGCCTGCTGTACCACAACACCTGCCCAGCTAACTCTCTTGATTCAGGTCTGCACCAGAGGTCCTGGGTACATGCAGGCCTTCTCTGATGCTGCTGTTTGGATTAGCAGCTCTGCACCGCCCTCATTTCCTTACCCTGGTTGATGTCTACACATCATTGCCTGGATGTGCTTGTGTATTCTCTTCCTCCACTGGAATGTAAGTTCCATGAAGACAGGGGCTTGTTTTGTTCACTTCTGTATCCCTGGTGCCTGTCGTATCTGAGTCAGCTGAATAAAGCTAAAGTCATGAATTACAGTTTCATCCCCTAACGAGAACAGTAATGCCAGTCCTTCATGTAAGTAGCTTGTTGTCCAGGCTCTCATGAACTCCTTACAGTTCTCTCGTAACTAAAAGTTAATGCGTACAGTTGCACTACCTTGCTTAACCCGTAGCATCACTCGGTGTGGCTTACATGTATGACACAGTGAAACCTGATCAGATTGAGTCCTCCTAAGTGTCCTTGGCACATGATTTGAAAGAAAAATATTTTGAAATTCTAACAAAGAAATTTGAACCACGTCATTACTGTTTTAGTTTTACACAAACACAAATCTGGCTCATACTGGACCCAGAATTGCAAATGAAATGCACTTCACTAGAATCATTGGAGCAGCCCTTCCCTTTATTTTTTGGCTGCCTAATTTTCATTTGAAACTTTTCAACCCCACGTCTTTGTTGTTCTTTTCTATGCAAGTATGAAGACTCTTGTCTTCGTTTTTTTTGGTGTGTTCCTCCATAATGGAAGCATCCATGGGCTGAGGAAGTAATTAGATTATCTTCTGATCAGTGTCCTGGCTCAGAACTCCCAGGCCTGTCATTCTAACACTGTATGTTTTTATGTATTTATTTACATGAGAGGCAGAAAGATGGGAAGGGACAGAACTCCCGTCTGCCAGCCCACTCTCCAGATGCACACGGTGGCCTTGCTGAGGCTGGGAACCAGGAAGTCACCCCAAGTGTCCCAGCTGGGTGGGAGGAGCTGGAACCGTTACTGTTGCTCCCTGGGGTCCACGTTAGCAGGAAGCTGGAGTCAGCGGCCAGGGCCACAGCTGAAGCCGGGCACTCAGATACGGAACGTGGGCATTTCCACTAGTGTCTCAAGTGCTAAGCCAAATGCCCACCTGTTAGACATCTTTGATTAAGAAGACAGACTCAGTTATGTCCGCAGTGACAGGAGGGTCCCTGGTCTCCACGAGGTCTTAGGCTGCCGTTTAACGATGCTCCTTTGTTGGGAGGGGTGGGTCTGTACTTTCTGAGTACTTCAGAAGAGATCGTCTTGTTCATGTGTTTTTGCCTAGGTTTTCTCTCACACTCACTGTGACTGGTTTAATATTCCAGGTACGCATCTCTCCTCGGACAGCAAATTCTTTCCACTTACCCAGTGACCCGTCCACCCCCATCATCATGGTGGGCCCAGGCACCGGCGTAGCGCCCTTCATTGGCTTCCTGCAGCACAGGTGCGCACGCGGGGCTGGTGGGGAAACACATCTCTTGTGATCCTGGGTGGATGGCCGGCAGCCTTTTTAGTTTCTTCCGTCCCTGTGAAGGTAGTGAGCTTGAATTATAAAGACGTTTATTTAAAAACTTAGCAAACACAAGACGGCCTACCATACTTTGTGCCCCAGGGAGAGGAAGCGCAGTGTACTGTAGAGGTTTTGCTTCGTTCTGGGACTTCCCTTTCACTGTTGGCACTGTCAGTTGTCCTTTTACTGTTTTCAGTAGAACGGCGGCTCATAGGGTTGTTCAGCACAGGTTCATGTTGTGGGACCACGGCTGTTTCAGCACCTCCTTAACAGGATAAAATTGTCAGCAACAGACATCCAGGCCTGGCTAACATGTCAGAGTTAAATCCCCTGTATCAGCAGTTGTCCACAAAACAGAACTGTTTGACATCAACTGAGACCAAACCTCCTCCATGTTTGTGAAGTAGTGGGCAGTCTTCCACTGTTCCCCAGGCTGTGGACACGTGTTCTTTGGACAGTCCTTGTGTTGTTGTTTTATCTTTAAGACAGCGAAAGCTTCAGGACAGCCATCCTCTATGTGCTCAGCCTTTCACGCACACCCTTCATACATGCTGCCGTAAATGTTTTAAATGCAGAAGCCAGTCTAGGGTTCACACTGTGACATTTTGAGTTGTCCTTGTTACACGTCTGCAGCTCCTGGGCCATCCGTACTATGTGGCCGTGACAGCATGGGGGTAGTAAAATGTTAATGAAGTGGGTGAACTTTCAGAGCCTGCAAAGATGCTTTGTACAAACCTGTCTGAGTTGGTTCGTAGCATTTCCTGCTGAAAGCTTGGTTTTGCACACTTGTGTCGGACATCTCAACGTTGTCTTCCACCTACAGAGCGAAGCTCCAGGAGCAGCACCCGGGGGGAGACTTTGGAGCAACGTGGCTGTTTTTTGGCTGCAGACATCAGGAGCGGGATTATCTGTTCAGGTACTGCACGATGCTGGTATTGTGGTGCCCAGCTGCCCAGGACGCGGTCAACGTTTGGACTTTGCAGCCTTCCAGTGACCCATGGTCCTTGTGTTCCAGGGCAGAGCTCCAGCATTTCCTGAAGCAGGGCGTCTTGACTCAACTAAAGGTTTCCTTCTCAAGAGGCGCTCGTGTCGGGGAGGAGGAAGCCCCAGCAAAGTATGTGCAGGACAACCTCCGGCTTCACCGCCAGCAGGTGGCGAGGATCCTCCTCCGTGAGGGCGGCTGTATTTACGTGTGTGGGTGAGTGCCCGCCCTGTGCCAGGGCCGGGTGGGAGAAGGCATCGAGTGGTCGAGGGAGGACAGGATGAGAGGCCGGCAATCCAGACACATGGGGTGAGGCATTTGATTCTTAAGTACAGGAATAGAAATGCAAGTTCCAAAAGGATTTCGTATGCGCTTAATAACCAAGAAGTTGCCATCGCCAGGAAAGTAGTAGTGAAAATTAATTCTCAGGTTCGGGAACACTTTGTCCCATTTTAGATACGTGTTCCTAAAACTTAATCATCAGACTTGAAATCCTGGGATTAATTTTGCTGGGAATCAGAGTCTGTGATTTGTGTCACAGAACAGCTAAGGGGAGAGAAGTCTGATTTTGACTGTGAGAATGTGGATGTGGGGATTCTTCTGCTTCCAGGCACGATGGTGGCATTGGCGTGAACGTAAACCAGCAGTCGTCCTTGTGTTCCCAAGTTTTATCTACTTTCTGAGAGAAAAGCTATGATATAAAATCCAGTTGCCTTAGGAAATAAAGTATTTTTAAACTCCTTGTTTTAATGGAAATCAAAAAACTTCAGCCATTTAGAAAGGAGTTTTGAAGTAAGAAATTTATTCTTTCATCATAATATGTCCCTAGAAGTAACACAATCTCTGAGTCATTAGATCAGGTTCTTTTTGAAAGACAGCGACAACAAAAACTGAGTCCGACACAGGATGTTGGCCTGGTGGCCCAGGAAACACACACAGCCGTCCCCCTGGGATGTCCCCAGTGGGTGGCTGAAACTGTACGTAGTTCCAAACCCCACAGAGCCCTGCTTTTTCTGTGCATTCAAGGGTACCTCCAGAAGTTCCTGCAAAAATGGAATTAGAAGCTTGTTTCGCTGCGAAAACATTTTGAAATCTATATGTTATAGTTTTTGATAGCATGCATTTTCATGAAACCTGTGTATGCATGCCGTCTTCCGTGAACTTCTCAGTGTGCACTCGCACAGGCCTGTGATACAGTTTACAAATTAGACACAGAAAGAGACTGACAGCAACAAGCAATGCAGCAGAAGCACTGTCGCAGTGCACTGTGGAAATAAAAGGTGTGTGCTGCGTCTCCCTGTACCCTGCTGGTACCCCCCCGCTAGCGGGGCTGTGAGAGGTTGTGATGTCTGGGGGGGTCATGCACGTGTTGGGCTTCCAGGCACGCATCACTGGAGCCCAGACACTGTGATACTGCTGCAGAAGGTCTCCTAGCTGGACGGCTACTGAGTAATGCATGGGTAGCATATGCAGTGGCAGTGCACTGGACAGAGCTGCGACTCTCGTCTGAGGTGGGTGGGCGGGACAAAGTGTCACAGTGTGAGATTTCGGCGCCCTGCTTAGAATGGCACTTGGTTTGAATCAGTTTTTTTTTTTTTAATTTTTGGAATTTTCCATGTAGTATTTTTAGGTCATAGTTGATTTTGGATAACTGAAACTAGGAAATGAAACCCCAAATAAAGGAGACTTCTATAAATATAATTGAAATAAAAGTAACTTTTTCTACTTATGACACATTCTAATCATATATTCATTGTGTTTTACTGTTCAAGTTGGGCACAAAGTTAATTCCATGATCTGTTAATAGATTTTTGACTTCTCAGTTGAAAATGACTGCTTAAAGTTGATAAAGGGCATAAATTCTAGTCATTGTGTTGATTTTATGTTTCTATGTGGCTTTTAATCAAGTACTTGATGTTCATTGTGCTTGTACAGGACATTGCCATCAGTAGTCAAATTCAGACTGACACTTTAGAAAGAAATCTAAAGAGTAGAGGCAAGGTTGATTATACATATGCACAAATAACAGTAACTGGGGATTAGGAATTTGGAGAATATCTTCTTAAATGTCCAAATCCTTTTTTTTTTTTTTTTGACAGGCAGAGTTAGATAGTAAGAGAAAGAGAGACAGAGAAAGGTCTTCCCTCCATTGGTTCACCCCTCAAATGGCTGCCACAGCCGGCATACTGCGCCAATCCAAAGCCAGGAGCCAGGTGCTTCCTCCTGGTCTCCCATGCAGGTGCCAAGCACTCGGGGCCATCCTCCACTGCCTTCCTGGGCCACAGCAGAGAGCTGGCCTGGAAGAGGAGCAATCGGGATTAGAACTCAGTACCCATATGGGATGCCAGTGCCGCAGGTGGAGGATTAACCAAGAGAACCACGGCACCGGCCCTGTCCAAACTTTTAAAATGTTACCCCAGAAATAGCTTTCCAATCACTGGTGCTTCACTTTTCCCATTTGCTGAATGGACTTGAAAGCATTAATAGTGATCAGACGAGGGCTCAGAACAGAGCTCCTTGGCACTCAGTACCTCCATCAGGGAGGCAGGAATGGAGGAGACTGAGAGGAAGCAGCCATGGAGGAAGGGGTGAACTTGTGCAGGAGCCAAGGGGACAGGGTCCTGGGGAGGCACGGGCTGTCGGTGGGGCAGGTGGGAAGACAGAGCTGGAACAACAGCTGTGGCAACACGTAGGCCACTGGTGACCTGTGGAAAGGCCGTGGGCACAGCAGCTCCCTTGGAGTGATCGGAGCGAGCAGTCAGGAAAGACGAGACGGGCACAGGGGGCACTAGTCACTGCGCTGTTCTGTGAGGGCCAGGAGAGCTTCCTGCTAGAGCCCTGCCCAGCACGCGTCTGCATTCAGCAAACATTCAAGGGCCTGAGAGTGCTTTGGTGGTGCTCAGATGTTGCAGGATTCGAGGATGAACGAGGTCTATTCCCACCCTCAAACAAGCTGCCCCTGCAGGGGAAGCTGCTAAATCAGATGCTCGCAGCACAGAAAGTGTCCCGTAGGGCACCACCGGAGGACCCGTCCCCTGCCTTGTTAATCAGACTGAGCTGTGTGAACGCACTCAGAATGGGGCTAGGTGCACAGTAAGCTCACCTAACAGTGTGTGTGAAAAGACTTAGAGGTGTGAGAGAGTTACTGCCTTCAGGAATGTGCACCGACTGCGTGCCTTGAGGGAGGGAGGAAGTGAAGGCGTGAGGTCCAGAGGCCGGATGGGGAAGGTCCCCAGACACTGGCTGAAGCTCCAGGCTGCTCTCCAGTGTGGAAGCCAGGGAAGGATTTTAAGTCAAGGAGCACTGTGGTCAGCTGATGTGCACCCTGGAAGGCAGCAGGTGATCTCCCGTGTGGGAGACCCAGGCTGAGCTCCAGGCCCTGGCTTTGGCCGAGCCCAGCCCACCCTTTGTGGGCATTTGGGGAGTGAGCCAGCAGATGGAAGGTCTCTTTGTATGTTCCTCTGCCTTTGAAACAAATAAATGCACTTGTAATGAAGCTCTGAACTTTACTCTGGTCACTGTGGCCGAAGGCCTGGCCAGGGCGGCCAGGAATCCTGTTTGAGAAAATGGAAGAAAGAACTCAGGTGACTGAGTCAGCACAAGTCAGATTCTCGAATTAAGGAGGATTTGATAAAAATTCCTGTTTTGTCAATTATTTTCTTTTGTAGAGATGCTAAGAACATGGCCAAGGATGTCAATGATGCCCTTGTGGACATAATAAGCAAAGAGGTTGGCGTTGACAAACTAGAAGCAATGAAAACACTGGCTACTTTAAAAGAAGAAAAACGGTACCTTCAGGATATTTGGTCATAAAACCAGAAATTAAAGGAAGAGAGTTAAGTGTTTTTGGCTAAAAATACTAGAAGACAGTTCCACCAAAGCGTCCCTTGTGCAGCAGAACTTCTGGATTCGATTTTCACGGCCCCCACCCTCCCCATGTGCACTGCCATCGGTACCCCCGGGGACCTTCCAGAACCTGCCAGAGACCTGAACCCACCACAGTGTCTGCAGGTGCGAAGGCTGCCTGGCATGGGGAGGGGGCATTGTTCAGACTGACTAGGTGACTGTGCACTTAAGTTGCCTATACTTTTCAATAATGTAACAAGAACTTACATCATTTTGTGTGTCCGGTACCTACAAAGAATATTCATATTAAGGTGTTTAAGTATACATGTAGAACATATCTGTTACATGTTTATAACTATCAAATATTTATTACCAAAGCTATATTTTTATTAAAAAGGTATTCTAAGATAATTTTTAAGATAATGCTCTATAATGAGATTTTATTTTTAATGGTGCTATAAATGTGAAATATATTTTGCAATTTCATTCTGGTACATGATTTAGCACAATTCATTCTTTTTAATGTCACAATTTCAGAATTTAAAGATATTTGCCTTTAGTTTATAAATGCCAGCATGTGCACATTTTAGTAAAATGAAATCTTTTTCTCTCTTCGTTCCTCACCGAGTCCTTTCATTCCTGTTCTTGGTGTGTTTTTGGGTTTTCCCACGTAATTTCTTTTACTTCCATGCTGTCACTCAAACTGTATTCTGGATTTAGAATGCAGACTTCAATTAGTAGTGCATTTTAGAGTCCCAGTGTCAGATTCTCTCAAAATTTGTCAAAACAGGAAGAAAAAAAGGACTGTAATAACTTTTGTTTTAGACTCTAGTATGTAGTATCTCTCATTTACTATCTTGGCATTTGAAAACAAATCTCTTATGTGTCAAAGGCTTCTGGTTATTTTGAGAAATAAAGATCTGAAAAAATACAGCATAATATTGAGATTTGGTGGCTATATATTATGTTCTATAATATATTTCTTTTTATTATTGTATATTTTATAACAGAAACCTATTTAAAAGGTACAGGAAAGCATACCAAGCAAATACTGTTAGGTTGTTTGCATAAGCTAAGAAAGACTTGAAGCTGTAATAATATGCAGCAATCAAGGTGTGTCCAGCTACCAGTCCCATCTATAAATGCTCCTACGTGACTCACACTGATAGACCAATAGAGAAACTGACAAGTAGTCACACTTGGTGCTGGGGAGTGACCTGAGCCAGTCTGTGCGGGCTCATGTCCTCTGCAGGTGATTTCTAGATACTGTTAGATAGCAGCAGGTCTTAGGGGAGTGCCAACGAGCTGCTGCCCACGACCTTACTAGCTGGCACTGTTGCCAGCAGGTCTCAGTTGAAATGTTGCACGCATTTCTGACGCCCCAATTTTAAGCTGAATGAAGTTCTAGCTGTGTGATTTAGGTGAACACCACAACTCAAGATTGTTGTGACTGAGGAGACAAAATTGTGTTCCTCTTCCCAGCATAAGCCATTCTCTAACCCAGCGTCTGGACAGTGCTGTTTGGGGTTAGCCTCAAGTACTAACCAGCATGAGCCATCCTCTAACCAGCGTCTGGACAGTGCTGTTTGGGGCCATCCTCTAACCAGTGTCTGGACAGTGCTGTTTGGGGCCATCCTCTAACCAGTGTCTGGACAGTGCTGTTTGGGTCAGCCTCAGGTACTATACAGGGCCTAGCTAGATGGTCTTTTGCCTTGTTTACATAGGGTTAGCGAGTTCCTCTAAATTATTCTATCCAATTTCCATTCCACTGATGATGATGGGAGGGGGCAGGGGGGTGTCTTGTCTTTTTTCTTTTTTTAAAAAAAATTTTTTTTCTTAATTTGAAAGGCAGAGCCACAGAGAGAGAGAGATCTTCTATCCATTGATTTACTCCCCAGATGGCCTCAACAACCAGGGCCGGAGCAGGCAGAAGTTAGGAGCCAGGAGATCTATCCAGGTCTCTCAAGTGGTTGGCAGGGGCCCAGATACTTGGGCCATCTTCTACTGTTTCCCAAGCACGTGAACAGGGAGCTGGATCAGAAGCAAAGCAGCTGGGACTTAAGCCGGCATTCCCATATGAGATATCAACTTCACAGGAGGCCAATGCTGGCCCTAAGGTGGGGCTGGGGGAGGGGTAGAGTTTCTAACCCCAGTTTTTCTAACAACCCACTGTTGCACCTAACATTTTCAGTTCATTTAAATGCTGATCAACAGTAAAATCAGCAGAAGTGCTGTAGTGTCTGAGTAGTTTTCTAAACTATTACATCATAATACCAGGACTCAGTAGATCCATTTAGTAATAAACTATCAATGGATAAGAGCTTTTGGGTTTCAATTGTTGGCAAGCTAGAAATATGTTCTGCATACAACAGGGTGCCCGTGTCAGTTTCAAATACACTTGAAACATGTAAAAACAACTACCATGAACTAGGCCATAAAGGAAGCTCAGAAAATCACACAAAATAAGGTATTATACACTGACTACAAATGAACTATAGGAAAAAATCCACTAAGGCCTCAATGAAATATTTCAAACATGCAAATGGCATGGCTTAAAATACTAAGGGCACACAAAGAATACAGGCTAAACTACCCATGGGGAATTCATTCCATGGTCTCACAAATATTTGAGTGCCTGCTTTGCCAGGTACTGCTCACTGTGCTGTGGGTGCACAGTGACTGAAGTCGATCAAACAGCTCTGTTCTCAGAGAGCTCACATTCTTAGGCTGAGACTTAAAATAATGAACAAACATGTAAAGTATACAGCGTCCAAGAAGGTGATAAAGGCTACAGAGAAAAGTCAGAGTGAAGGGCGTGGGTGATACTCAAGTGTCAGGGCTGGGGAACTTGACATAGCCAGGCAGAGTCCTGGAAGGTTAAGACAGCACATAGGAGCCGGCGCCGCGGCTCACTAGGCTAATCCTCCACCTAGCGGCGCCGGCACACCGGGTTCTAGTCCCGGTTGGGGTGCCGGATTCTGTCCCGGTTGCCCCTCTTCCAGGCCAGCTCTCTGCTGTGGCCAGGGAGTGCAGTGGAGGATGGCCCAGGTGCTTGGGCCCTGCACCCCATGGGAGACCAGGAAAAGCACCTGGCTCCTGGCTTCTGGCATCGGATCAGCGCGGTGCGCAGGCCACGGCGGCCATTGGAGGGTGAACCAACGGCAAAGGAAGACCTTTCTCTCTCTCTCTCTCTCTCACTGTCCACTCTGCCTGTCAGAAAAAAATATAGAATGAAATACACCAAAGGGACAGCACATAGGGAACCAGCCGTTGTGTATCTTCAGAGTGGAAAGTCAGCACCAAGGTCCTGAGGTAGAACTGTGCATGAGCTGAGGGAGAGAAGTGAGGAGTGCAGTGGGTCGGAGAGAGGGGAATTCTACGGGAGACCAGCGGCTCCATGATGCATTGCCCTGAGGCCTCTGGCGGACTTTAGCATTTACTTTGAGTAGAAAGTCACTTGGTTAACCGATCTCTAGAACAGACCACGTATTAAGACAAAATTTGTTAAAACTTGTTCTGTGTCTTTTTTTTTTTTTTTTTTTTGACAGGCAGAGTGGACAGTGAGAGAGACAGAGAGAAAGGTCTTCCTTTGCCGTTGGTTCACCCTCCAATGGCCGTTGTGGCCGGCGCGCTGTGGCCGGTGCACCGCGCTGATCCGATGGCAGGAGCCAGATACTCATCCTGGTCTCCCATGGGGTGCAGGGCCCAAGCACTTGGGCCATCCTCCACTGCACTCCCGGGCCACAGCAGAGAGCTGGCCTGGAAGAGGGGCAATCGGGACAGAATCTAGAGCCCTGACCGGGACTAGAACCCAGTGTGCCGGCGCCGCAAGGCGGAGGATTAGCCTATTGAGCCACAGCACTGGCCTTCGTTCTGTGTCTTAATACGTGGTCTGTCTAGAGAAGCTTCCACGTTCTGATGAAAATGAATGATTTATGCAACTAGTAGGTGAAATGTTCTGTAAGTCAGCTTCACTTGGACGGTAGAATAGTTCAAATCTGATGTTCTTTTGTTGGTGTTTTTGTCTAAATGATCTGTCCATTGATGAAAGTGGGATGTTGAAGTCCCCCACTATTGTATTAGAGCCCATCTCTCCTTTTAGATAACAGTGATACTTATACATACTATATATATATATATCATATACAGTGTTCCACCATTAGGTGTGTATATGAGAGTACTTCAGAAAGTTCATGGAAAATGAAGTTAAATTATGTTTATTTTGGTATAAATACTTTTAAAAATCTAAGCACTTATTATGCATTTTCCATGAACTTTTTGAATACCCCTCATTTACAAGTGTTATGTCTTCTTGCTGAATTGATCCCTTGATCATTATATAGTGACGTTCTCTGTCTCATTTGACAGTTTGTGTCTTAAAGACCATTTTGTCTAAGTACCAGTTACTCCTGCTCACTTTTGGTTTTCACTTGTGCAGATTAGCTGTTTCCAGTCTTCCACTTTGAGCTTGCGCGGGCCTTTCCTGGTAAAGTGAGTTTCTTGGGGGCAGCTTATCATTGTGTCTTTTATTTCTTTGATTAATCAACCCAGCCAGTCTGTATCTTTCATGGTGGTATTTAGTCCAGTAATGCTCAAGGTTGTTATTGATAAGTAACACTGATTCTGGCTATTTTGTTGATTTTATTCTATTTGTTTTCAACATCCTTTACTCACTTCTTGCTCCATTGGTCATCTTAGTGGTTTGATGATAAAGTTTAATGGTTTAATTCTTTTCTATTTCTCTTTTGTGTATGTACTTTCCTAGTGGGTTTTATACTTTTCCATGCTTTCATCATGGTAGTTACTTTTGTTTCTGGTTGTAGGACTCCATTAAGCATGTTATCTGGTGGTAATAAATCCCCTCAGTTTTTACTTATCCTGGAAAGTCTGGTTTGAAATATGATTTAGATGAGGTTATTCAAGTGAATTTAGCCCGTTTCTCAGATAATATTAAATAATGCAGTAAACCACACAATAATTTTATGGTGGAATTTTGATGCTATTGATACATTAAATGGGCTTTTCTCAAGAAAAGAAACAGCTGCAGTCAGTTCTGAATCCCTCCTCTGAGCAAGGAAGATTTGGCCTCTTGGACACTCAGGTGGTGTCGTTTGCCTGTCATGTGCCCATGCACATCCATGTGGCTTATTTCCATCAAAGCTGAAAGAGACTTTGAAGAATGCTTATGATAAGCTTTCTGACTTGGAAAGGAACATTAACCCAAATGCTAACAAAAGTAGTGCTACTTATACTAACAATCAGTTATTTTAGGCGCGCATTTATGTTTTATTCAGTGCTAACAGTTTTCTTTTGAAATGTGGTTGGTTGACATTGCACGGGACTCCAAATGCATCTTCTGAATTCCATTAAATGTTTATGACAGTGGTTCTGATGTATTCTCTTAGGTTAGGAAAATGTTTATTTTCGAAAAGTGTTCTTTTAGGGTGAGGAAGAATGTTAAACTCCAGTTGGCTGAAGGATGTTGCGTGTATTTTGCTGTGTCTCTTAAGTTTCTCCTCCAGTATTTTCTATGCTAGAGGTGCAAGTGTGTTTGACCGACTGTTCTCGAGTGGCCTGGTAGAGAAAATAGGCCAAATTAAGAGCCCAGGGGTTCATGCCACTACCCACTTCCACTATGCCCCTCCTCAAGAGGGAAGGGAGTATGGCCCACCCTCTGTGTCAAGTGCAGTGTCAGAAAACCTTCGCCGGTCCCAGAGGGTCACGACTGGGTGTCTGTGACAGGGTCCTTATTCTTAGCCTGCAGATGAGGTGGTTTGGGCTTGGAAGGTTTACCTGTCCTTTCCAAGGTCAAGGAAGTAAACAGCATGGCCAGGCCTCAAACCCAGGTCCGTCGGGCTCCCCAGTCTATGATCTTGTGTTTTTAAAAAATTGTTTATATTACAATGTTTGATTCACAAAATATAAGCACATTATATACA